ATATAATTATTTTTCATTTTTTAAAGTAATTTAATACGTTCTGCAACCTCCAAAATCATATTAATAATGCTGTGTAAGATATATATTAAAAATCACCTTTGAATTATGTAGAAATTTTCACAAATAGTAAAAATTTATTAAAGTTTGCTGGAAACTGCAAACAAAAGAAGAAAAAAAAAACCTTTGAATTCAGTTGAAAATTAAAAAAACTTGAACTTATATCAAACCTCTAATTTAAAAGGTAATTTTCATTTTTTAAATAAAACATAATACAAAATATTATTGTAAATTTTTAAAGATTTTAAAAAGCAAAGATGGTCAATACTCCAATCACTCAATCTGGTTCTTATTTTAGTAATGAAAAGTGCTGCTACCGAGAATGCCCTTTCTGATTTAATTGATGTTAGTGGAATACTCTTTAATGCATTTAAGAGAAAACAGATGAGATGTTATGTGTTTTCTCACTCTTAGCCTCAAAGATTTCTAGTTTGTTTTCGAGATTGTAGTACTTCTTTTGCTCTCTAGTATTATTAATTTGTCTACCTCAACTGCTTTAATAGCGACATCAAGCTTATAGCACAGTAATTCGACAATTCGTTTGGCTTTAATAATCAGGTTTATGAAGAAAAACTTCATACTTGCAGACTTCATACTCGTTTGTATCCTTGCCCAATTTGCACAACCTGGCATAATGCAGTTATTAGAGCTACTGGGCATGTTTAAAAATTAAGACAGCATAAGCACAATTATTCCAGATATTACAGGTTCTGACAAGTAAAGAATTTTCAGTCCTGCCACAAATAAGCTACGTATTGATATGTAAATTTTCGACTATAAATTCGTATCTTCTATTATCAGGACTTATTATACTGGTTTTACAGATAATATTACTCAGGATAATCTAATCTTACAATTTGTTTCTTTTTGCACATTGTGTATCTGCATAAAAAAATGACTTATAAAATCCTGAAACCATATTTTAATATGAAAGAACAATAATTACCATTCATACACAGCATCACACTATCTTAATGAATGTTTTGATTATTTCTATTGGTTTAAATTATTAAATGTACACAACCATCAAAATTTTAAGTAGCTTGTGTTAATCTATTAATAATATATGATTTTCCATCTGAACAGAACAATTTAATTAAATTAATCAACCACAAACCTTTACGGTGCGAAATTACATATAAAAATCCGGTTAAATGATTAATTTAGTACAATTTAATTAATTAATAATGTGCAAAATTAATAGATTAAAAATATTCTGAATTATTTTTTGCCAAAATATATCAATTAAATAAAGATAGAAAAGAAGCCACATGATTGATTAATAACACAATCTTGTGTTTAATACTCTCAAAAATATATTAAACTAAATAGTTTTATAATTATTTCAAAACTCAAAATTTCATGAACAAAAAATGCATTTAATAAATTTTGTTCTTTAAGAATTTAGTTTTTACTCTTCAGATAACTGTTTTAAAATACATTGAATTAATGTAAAATTTTATATACAAAAAATATTTACATTGTACTTAAATTCTTCTACAATTTAAATTAATATGTAATTTCCTGATTTTTTGCTTTACTTTAAAATGTAATAAAATTTTTAATTATTGTGTTGCATCAAGAATTTTTAAATATGAAAAATTTCTCATTATCTATTTAAAGGATTTGTTTAAAAACTATATTTATATTACTATGAGTTATTTTAACTTACTTGAGTCAATTCTAATGAATCTATTGCAGTTCCTCCTCCAAATACATAGATTTTATTCTTGTAAATGGCAATTTCATGACGATATCTGAGACACAAAAATAATATTGAAACATAACAACTTATGACTTTGAATTACACAACAAAATGATCAATGATCATTGCAGAACTGATTAAATTAAATTTTATAACAATACATTTAGATCTTAATATTAATACATTTTATTTTATGCTTAATTTCTTATTTTATTTTTAGTTCTAAATTATTAGGTAGTACATAATAAACTTCCCACAGTCCAATACTCAACCAAATGAAATGTATTGCCCAATTAATTAATTTTAATTAATTGGGCAATAAATTTGCTATTATTAATTATTAGATATTAAGTAATTTGTATTAGAGGTAGACATTAGGCACCATNTCTTGTTGATAAAACTTGAATATCCAGTAGAGAAAAAAATTAAAGAAAACTGGAAAATTGTAAGAATTTCATTAAATAATTTTGTCGGAAATTTTTAAAATGTAAATTTTAATAAAAATTTTATTGTTTTATAGAACATATATAAATACCTGCTGAGGAGGGACGAATATGTCCGAAACGCAAAACTGTGTATGTGTCCAGGTATACGAAATAAAATAAAAATTGTTTTCTGTTAATCTTTGTAATATTATCTGTAAAACCAGTATAATAAGTCCTGATAATAGAAGATACGAATTTATAGTCGAAAATTTACATATTAATAAGAAAAAAGGACATTGAGGCAATTTATTTAAGCTACGTATTGATTATTGACCATTTGTGACATGCCATAATGAGGAAAATTTAAAAAACTAATAACTAGGTTTAAAATTAATAAATACAAATGTATTCTGACAGTTTATGAGTTAATTATACTTTCTATTTGCGAAATTTCCTCAACCTTAACACAAAATAAGAAAAAAGTAAACTTTTAAAAAATTTGCGGGATTTCCCGGAATAAGAAGAATTTTCCAGGTTAAAAAAACAACCGGGATCATGTTTGAGAAATCCTACTTAATATGTAATCATTAATAATAGCAAATTTATAGCCCAAGTAATTAAGGCTTTCATTTGATTGATTATTAGACAGTGCTTGTTATGTCATTTCAATTCAAAACTTTTATAAATTTAATTATATAACTTACAAATTAGTATATATAACTAAAAAATTACTTTTATAAATTGTAAGATGAAATGTAAGATCAATGACATATTGGAATTACATCATTTTATTATATTATTAATAAAGTTGTGAAACATTCATGGATTGAAATATTAGATACATACAAACAAATTACTTGATTTAGTCTTTTTTTTTTTTTTAACATATATATTAATTTAAAGGCATTATTTTTGTGTTCAGGACATAGATCTGTGCTATTTTTCAATAATTCTTGATGTATTTTGAATTATTCCTGTAATATTTTTTATAGTGAAGTGATTTAAATAGGAAAAAGAATGAGAATAAAATCTTATGCAAGTTTTTGTTATTCAAAACATTTCAATATTTCAACTAGTAAATATTTTTAGAAAAAAACCTAAATATAAATAGAAACAAGCCCAAGCAATGAAAGTAAGTTTCAGTACAGGTATCCCTCATATAATATGGTAGTTACATTCTGAAATAGTACCATGTTATACAAAACAAAGGACTAATGTAAAACATGGAGTTATTACATTCCAGAAGTTAGCAAAAGAATACTATTCTTTTTCATTACTAAGAGAAATATGTTTATTAAAGCAATCAATAATTTATTTCCAATCAATAGTTAAACAATCACAATTAAAAGTATCATATTATGCATTAATATTAATTTTAGTTAAATGAGAGTGTTTTCTTTTTACAAGGTACCCTTGTCATCTCAGCTTTTTGTTGATTTCAATCAGAAGTATCTGCAACATTTTCACACTTTTTTATTTATGTCATAAAAAATTCTTATGAATGATAAAATAAAAATATGCTATTAAATAAAAATTTGTTCTAGAGGATTGCATTTGTTCAGTCAAGTACCAAGCAACTTTTTTCAGAATTTGTGATCGAATGCTGAATTGTTCAAGTACCAGGGTACCGCTGTATCTCATTTGTCATTTTATTAATGATTGCCTACCTACAGTTAAAAAAAATTCAATAATCTTACCTAAAAATGTTTAAATAAACTTTATTAAATATGAAGATTAATCTATAAAAAGAAAACACAGTGACAATCTTAAGGGCTAAAGTCTGAAAACAATGACCATGACACCTGATTGATTAGAAAGTTAGGACAAGGAAAAAAATTGCACTATCAGTTTTCATTAAAGTAAACCTGACAAAAAGCACAAAGTAATGTGAAAATTTCAATATTGTTAAAATCCATGGGAAAATTTGAGATGAAACGCCCACTTACTTGAATAACAAAAAATATTGAATAACAAAGTTTACACTTAAAAATTGTGAAATTTTATATGGAGGATTTCCAAAACCATATTACAGCGAAAACCAGAAGTCATGTTGTATGGGGATATCTCCAATTTTCCAACAATGTTAGAGTGTAGAAGAACTGTATGAGGGATACCTGTACATAAATCACAGAAAAAGAAAACAACACACAATTGTCCAAGACTGTATAAATTATCCGATCCTAAAATACATAAGATCTACAGTTTTGTATTATTAAAATGTCATCATGACACAACAGAATGTATGTACTATTTACGTAATCTGTTTTCATCATGAAACTGACACACCTACCAAAATTTACATATTTTTCTAATAAACCAGAACAAACAGAACCAAAGTAAGAAATCATAATATATTGTAGTCTGCTATATAGGTGCAGAACTAAGAAAAATCTATTCATTAATTTAGAACACAGTTGATCTAAATTAAGTTCTCTTACCACTACTTCATATAAAATTGAATTTCAGAAAACTGTTCGTTTGCCAAAGCATTAGTAAAGAATAGATATCAAGTTTAAAGCAGGTATACTTAAGGAATTTGACAAGAAAACTACTAACAGGTGAAAGGTTTTAAGGTATGACTACAAAAAATAAAAATGGTAGGTAGTTTAAGAATTTAACAAAACATTTCTGAATCATCATGTTTTGTAAATGCACTTCAAACTTTATTTTTCAGTCCTATTTTCATCTATATCAAAATTCATTTTTTTAAAAAAGCTTGCACTTAAAACATTAATAAACCTTTTATCTTTAAAAATATTCTTTTTTTCACTCATACTTCACTTGCACTGCTTGGGTTATTCCCAATTCTCTCCAAAGAAACCTCTTCCATTATCTAATTCTTTATTAAAGTTTACCACTTTTTATTGACCTTTTAATTTCTGTTTATAATTACCTCTTCCTTTATTCATAGCTTCTACTTTTTTAAGTTTTAAATCCTGGTTATTGCAAAGTATGGCTATTGCTGATTTGTTATATTTTATTTCTCAAATATGCTCTTATAATCTTCAACTTTTTTGATGTTCTCTCACTATAAATCTTTTCTACTAAAGAACCACATTTTAATTTATATACTTCATTTTTCTCTTCCATAAATCAAATAAAAAAGCAGTAAACTTAAAAGAGTTGAAAATAGATAATATAGTATCTAGAAGGATTAGGTAATACAAGAGCAGTATGAGTAAAAAAACGTGAAAAAAAAACAAAGAGATTGAAGTGTATGATTTTAATGTTTTAATAGTTTAAGCTTTCATTTTTAAAAAATAAATTTTTGTACAGAAGGAATCAGAACTGAAGACAAACCAAAAAACAGTCTAAAATGCATTTCCATAATAATCTTTATAAACTACCATTTATAACATTATACCATAAAGATAAAATAAATTGAAACTTGTTCACTGGATTTCCCAGTAGTCAGTGCCTTATTGAATAGTCATTAGTCTATCTGTTAAATTTTGAAATATAATACACACAAAAGATTAATAAGTGTTTCATAGTCATTATATGTGAATGAAAATGACTATAAAACATTAAATTATTTATCTGTTAAAAAAAGGCATCAAGAAATCATTGCATCATCACTTTTTAATACTTTTTCCATGTATCTACTTAATTCATGTATCTGTATCTGATTCTATTATACTACCTTCCAAAAGGATGTTCTTTTGCACAAAGTGTTTCCCATTGTTTCGTTTTTAAATTTAGAAAATGAACATCTAAGAAATAATCTAATCCTGAAGTACCACCAACCACATATAACAGATCATCTTGTAATGCTAAAGCCTGAAATTTAAAAAAATTCATTAAAGTATAACATTTTATAAAAATCTATTAAATGATGAACATTTTAAAGAAAATACTTTTATTAGTATAAATTATTAATTAATTACAAATAAATTTATTTTATAATCCTATTGCAAATACAGTCAAATTTCAGTAAACAATTATTAATATAATGATAATTATATTAATGATAGGAACTATAGAGTTGTTGGAGTGTTGGCAAATAATGTGGAAGACAATGAATGAAAGCAATAGTGGCAAGGACTGTGTATAATAAAGTATTGTTAACAAAATGATTTTAATATGAAAGTAGTCAAAATGATTGGAATATTGAAAAATTGGGAAGTGTATCGAAAGAGTGTTTGTGCCTCGTTTAGCTTGTATGAAACATGGCCGACATGACAGTATTACATTTAATTAAATATATACCGTAAATATAAAATTAAATAATTAAATGTAATATCATCGGCCATGTTTATATTTATTAATTTACTTCAAAATGTATTTTATGTGAAAATGGCGATAGCACCAGAGGACGTTTTTTACCATATTTGCATTTTATTGCGGAGGTAGTAGCCTCTAAAGAAAGGTCGCCTCCATGTTTGTAAAATTGTGGACTGTCAACTGGAGCGAACAACGGATGAACAAACGGAAACAAAGTATTGTTAAACGTTGCAATTTTATATTTATATATTTACTTGCCGTTGGCCATGTTTATATTTATTAATTTACTTCAAAATGTTTTTATATTATTGAATATAAGCTTGAAAATCAATTTTTAGTACTACTAATTGACATGATGTAAAAATTCTTTTTATATTGTATATGTATGTACTGTACATTATATTTGAATATTTATACACATTACCACTTAAACATACTATAAAAATAATTATGATACTATATTCATTGACAAAGAAGTTATGCATGCAGATAGACTTTTCTTATTACTGCAAACTCAGTGCATAGCTGTCTTAGATCACAACTGCAATTACTTACAGTTGTGGTCTGATTGCATTCTAGGTAATAACACCAGAGTACCCAAAATCTCTATTTACTACAGTAACCTACAAAAAAGCTCAGTGTATCTATTGAGTGGAGAGTTTTGAATGCCAGATATGTATATACAACACAGTCAAAGACATCAGTAGTGCTGTACAGTACTAGTACAGTAGTGCCTGGCACTGTACTAATTATGAAAACTGCAACAACCTCCTCCATAATTTTTAACACACTAGTGCAATTTTCTGACAGCTGAAAATTAAGAGGATAGAAGTAGAATTATCCTTGACAACAAATACTGATATTTAACACTGTCAATAAAAATTGGTATTTTATCAGTTTTGGAATTTATCTAGAATATCAATAGTGATATTGTAAACATTACTTTTTGTTCAAAATATCAGTTATTGGCACAATACTATTGATAATTTTTGGTATTGATTGAAATTTTATTATTATTAACATATCGAAGCAATTTTTTGGTATCAAGCCCCATATGAATATCAAAATTTTGGTTTAGCACTGCCTGTATGTTATACACAACTGAGAGTTTGACAAATGCTGTTGTATTGTTGTTCCACAAGAAATTTGTCCCATTGCCGATATTGTAATCACTTATTACCATTATCATTATGTTCACATTAATACAGTTTCATTCTTTACACATAACTTTTTTGTCAATGAGCATATTTATTAAAATAGAACTTTTCTAAATTTTGAGAAACTGATATTTACCTGTCCGTATAACTTTGGAGGGCAAGAACCAGAAGTGGCAACTTTTTTCCAACAATTATTTGGAATATCATAAAACTGCAGTGTATTACCATTTTTGAATCCAAAGGGAACACCAGTTCCTCCAAATACCAATAAATAATGATGCAATAAAATAGCTGGAAAAAATTTTATATATTTTAGTAATGAAAAATGTATATATTCAAATTTATTATTTAAATTAATTGATTAATTTTAATGTATTTTCTTCTCAAATCTGAGATGACTCCTGTTTATTTCTATTGTGTCTAAATTTTTTTTCTTTCTTTTTTTACAAAATTAAATATGACAAATGGAAATGAATATAAAAATAATGTGCATACAATTATAAATTAGTTAAAATCTGATTTATTCAAATTAATTTATAAAAGGTGACCCTAAACATTTTCATTTACTAAACCATTACAAATACTTATTTAATTACAAACACAATTATTGCCATTACAGTACAGTCCCAAAAACTCAACTCTCAATAACTCAAGAATCTGTAAAATTCATTGTGTCCAAAAAAGTACACATAATCTAATTTTTATCTCTATAATATAAAACTAGGACCAAATAAGTAATCATTATTCACTGGCGACACTTATTAATAGCATCATTTCCATGTGTTAACAAAGAATATAACCCTTTTGCCACTCTAAAACACTACCATGCAAATATCACTAACTCAAAAGTAATCACCGAATAGTCAATAGTTTTTTTTTAATTAAAATTTAACTAGAAATAGAAATAGTCACTACTGGTACATAATTAATTTGTACACATATTTGTACATATAATACTTTTATGAAAATTCTGCTATTCAGATTAGTATCATCACTATCCATGATAGTATCGTTTTTGGTAACTTGTCACCTTCTCAGTCAACATTAAATCAAATTTGCAGGACGCTAACATAATATGCTTTTTCATTTTCATATAGTGCAAAACCTTTCAAAAAATCATACTTTTTTATGATTTTCCTTATGTTTCAAGTTATTGTAGATATCATTTCTTTGTTTTTAATAAAAAATTATTTAATCTTTTTTGCAAATTAATCTTTAATTTGAATATATATCAAAAAACATATGAACTTCAGTTCATTTATATTTCTTTCTGGGTCAAAATTATATTCAAAACCTAACAAAATAAGTAGATTTTTTGTTATAAAATCTAACTGTAGATATAACTAAACACAACATTTGACTAAAATTTTGGCAAGTATTTAGAAAGAGTATAAATAATTACAGAATTGTGTAAAACTTGGCACAATATTTAAATGTCTAAAAACAACTGCTAGGTTAAGGTGAGTAAAATATTTATTCTTTCAGGAAGAAATATGTTTATGGACTAATTTAATCCAACATTAGCTCTCCAAATAGAACTTGGAATCAATGCAAAATTAAATTCAACATTTAGAATGATTCACAGCTAAAATTTTAGAATATTCATAAAATGTAAATAATATAATTTTGAAATTTTAATATATTCAGAAATTCATATTTTAACTATTTAATTTTTTCTGTTTCTCAATTGTATTCTTTTTTATAATTTATCATCATCATCTTCTTCTTCTTCTTCCTTTTAAATATTTGGGTCAAAAGCTCATTACACTCTTGCATAGTTTTCTCACAATCATTTCTTAGAATGACTAATGGCATTTGGATAATAATTTAGTATTTCTCTAGATAGTTTCTCTTATGCCATGACTATGAGTGCAAAAAACAGCTGTCAAGCACAACAGAATCAACAATCATTGGTCTTATTTGTACGGTACCTCTTAACATATTTCATCATTGCATTTATGATCTTTATTGGTGTACCCTGGAGTTCTTCACATAAATTACTTTTCATTAGCATTAGTCCTATCATAACAAAAGTAAGCCTTGGCAAACTTCTGTAGTCATAAGCAGGGCTGTGAAGTCAGAGTCATGGAGTCGGAGTCAGGAGGAATTTCTGGCCAGAGGAGGCAGAGTCAGGAAAAATGTGTCAACTCCAACTCTGGCATTTTAAATTTAATTCAGTTTTTTTTTTTATTTAAATGACAGAAAATTTATTTTATATTTAATAATTTTTTAAATGTTTTTTTTATTTTGTTATAATTCATTTATTTTAAATATAATAATTTAATTTATTAATTAAATATGTATCAATAGTTTTCTTTTTAGTATTTGTGTTTATTAGTTAAATTATTTCGACCCAATTGAATTTGAATATTTTTGATTCATTCCTTTATTATCCTACTCTAAATACGTACTCTATTTTTTTGAATGAGCCAGACTAATTAATCAAAGTATATATTTTTCTTTTCTGAACAAGGGGCTGAAGTAAATACCTAGATCGCACACTTTTTAGTTGGACTAACATTTATAGAAAAATGAAATTGAAGTACAAAAGCTGTAAAATAAAGATATGTAGATGTAGAATTTTATTGCTCCTCTTTTCCTCTTATTAAATATTTGTTAAAAATTAATTTTTTTATACAAATAAATATTAATGCAAGTTAAATATTAAAAATACTAACTATAAAAGTATTTGGGTAAATGCCCAGGGCTCCTTTCAGAATTCAGAGTAGGGTAACTCCCTATGAGCACCTCTGCCCCCATAAAATGACTTTGCATTTAATTTTGCCAGAGTCAGGAGTTGAAGTCGAAGTCGGCCTACTAAAATTATCAGGAGTCAGAGTCGAAGTCGAGTCTTTTTTACCGACGCCACAGCCCTAGTCATAAGTGAGTGTTTTTTGAATAATTGAAGGTTTCACAATTTTGTTCACAATTCTTAAGGTTCTGATGTTTGATATAACTTATAAAATCAATATATTCAGTTCTGAAAACAAGTCCTAGATTCACAAGTTTATCCATTTTTTATTCAATATGTTTAATCAGAATTTATGTCCATATTGTACTGTAGTGAAATTTTGTTTAACTTATGCCCTGACCACTGCAATCTTCTACAAAAAGAGATAGCAACACAATTTCATCTGCTAACAGGATAGCATCTAATTATAAATCCCTATTTATTATGAATGAACCGTTCTTGTTTCCATCTTTTAATTATGAGGTTCATGTAAGTAATGAACAACAGTGTTGATAGTAAGCATCCTTAACTTATTTATTGTCATCTACACTAAGAGAAATACCATATTTCACTAAGATTAAATTATGTTGGTAAATACAGTAAGCTCCATTATTACATCATCATTGTTTATGAACTGTTGGACTTCTAAAGACCAAGGAACCATTAAAAAGTCAAAGTGTATAATATTAAATATATTATATATTAGCAAATACAATTTCCTAATGCAATGTCAATATCCTTGTCTTTTAGAAGTCCAACAATCTATAAACAACAAAGATGAATATAAAATTACATTATCAGTTTATGCAAAGTCTGCATTAATACAAAGCAAATTTACAATCCTATGGAAGAGGACAAGCATTTCAATTTTAAAAAATCACGTTAATACAAATTTAAAGTTACAGTTTTTAAATCCCTTCAACTTTGTTTGACTATATTATAAATATTAAAGCTGAATTAAGACGTATGTCGTCCTTTTGTAAAATGCTAAATAATTTTATTTTCTTAACTCAATCAAATGAAATGCTTTTCAAAAATCAATGAAGACAATGTAGACTTTTTAAATTAAATTCTGAACTTTTCATTTTGTATTTTCATAGTGAAGTATCCATCAGCACATAATCTTCCTTCTCAAATTCATGCTGTTCATTCCTATTGTATTTTATTGTCATAATATCCAGTTTGTTTATTATGATATTAGCATTTATTTTACATCCTGAATTTAGTTAATTAATATATCTATCATTTTTGCAGTTGTCAATTCTGACTTTATTTTAGATGGGTTATTATAACTTACTGTCATTCTTTAGAAATCTTCCCACCTGAACACTTAGTTACTTAGATAATATTGGTCTTGGAAGGGATCATGTTTAAGAATTTAAGTAATCTCTGAAAAAACTCCTGCTGGAATATTTCATGAGTTCATTCATTATTGGTTGTTATTGCTTCCTGGAGTTTTGTTATATTTTTAAGACTATATTTAATTCTTCTAGAGTAACCTGTTCATTGTCTACTATTTTTGTTGGTTGCCAGTACATTATATCGTCATGGTTGCCATTTTCTGCTCAGAAACTACAGAAGTACAGGCTAGCATACAACAAAACTGGCCCAAATGCAAAATAGTTTTAAAGTTTTATTTGGTAATAATGTACTGTACACTTAGGTTACATTTGGTATAGTAACTAAGTGATATTTTTAATGTAAAAATGCTAATTAACATTGAAAAAATTAATTTTAACAATTTAAAAAGTTTGTATTGGAGATGCATTTTTCTACTTGCCAAACCATGTTCTAGAAAACATCTTCAATTTGATGACTGTAATGTGGGCAATCTCTTGGCTTATGTTGTTTTTTCACTCTTCCAACAACATTCATGGGTTGTTGTGATAGACTCCCTTTTAGCTATCTCAGAAGTAGAAGTCAAATAGTAATAAGTTGATGGCCATAGATTCTTACTGATTATCCTTTTCTGAATGAAATCACTGTAAATTTGAGTGATTGAATGAAAACAGATATGACAAGTCATTTTATCTTGTTGAAAGAAGGCATAATTGATTTCATGCTGAGTCAAATGACTGCTTTTGTAGACTCAAAAATAAACACATTTTGTATTTGGACCAAAATCTTCTCACTTGAATACTGGAACCATATAAAATTAAAACTCCAAAACATTTAAACATCCAGTAGTAATCAATTTACTAATAAACAAATGTTTTCGACCAAAACCACCGCCCTATCAACATATGCCACTGAACCCGGCATAAGAGCTGATCTACATGAGGCCAAACTGATCAAAGTTTCTCACCGGGTGGAACACCTACGAAATCTGGAGGCACTGAAAATTTACAAAGCTGGGTTACACACCAATTGCATTAACGCTAATGATGTGGTCAATGTGTCACATGCTTGGAAATACTGCTATGAGGTAACGGACGACGCCCACTCCAGCAATTAAAGACCACATCCCCGTTTGATGTATTTATTTATATATATTTATATAATTGTATGTATTACATATGCAATTCCGTCGCCATGGCAATGCACATGCATAACTCTATTCTGTTAAAAATCCGTTTGTGCTGTTCCATTTTTCAAATTTAATTTCATAATCATTGTTCTACGCTTGCACAGGTTCGAATCTAACTGATTTTAAACCTGATGAAGACCGAGATTACAGTTGAAAACGTTTGTTTATTAGTAAATTGATTACTACTGGATGTTTAAAGGTTTTGGAGTTTTAATTGTATTTGGACCAGCATTGCATATGCCACCCTGTAGTTAATCCAGGTTTTATAATTCTTCTCACTATCTATGAACATGTTTTTTCTATGTTATAATATTTAATAGCATTGTCTCATTAAAAAAACAAAATACATATTTTCTTAAATAATATGATCACTTTTAGCTATAATATTGACTGTTTTGTCAGTTTGTTGCTTTATACAATATATATAACTATTAAGCAAAACTTAACTGTTATATAGTTAGTAAGTCAACAATTATATGGTCTATTATATCAAGATTATTTTAAATTAATTAGTAAATTATGTCACTAGATGGAGGTGTTAAGTGCCATCTCTTATTAAATTTAATAATTGTAATTAAATTAAATAATTTAGAGAATTCTGGAAGAAAAGAATCGACCCAGAGTGGGACTCGAACCCACAACTACCACTTACCGTATGAATGCATTGTCAGTTACAAAGTCTCCACCATTTACCATGCAGATGGTTAGCTCATGTTTAAATATATCTGGAAGAGGAGATTGGACTGGACACTCAGATAGCATAACTGGCAACACATCTGCACAGTGAGCTACAGTTGAGGGTTTGAGTCCCACTCCGGGCCAATTCTTTTCTTCCAGAATTTTCTAAATTATTTAATTTAATTGTAATAATTAAATTTAAGAGATGGTGCCTAACACCTTCCTCTATTGACAAATTTAATAATTTGTCAATAGAGGAAGGTGTTTTACTAATTTATTTACTAACTGATTTAAAATAATTGTGATAATAGTTCAATATAATCCAGTAGTTGTTGGCTTATTTGTATATACAGTACATTGAGTTTGTAGATATTGATTTATGTTATATAGGTTACAACTAATTAACACAAAGCATGATTTTTTTTCTTTCTTTATAAAATTTTAGAAAAGTGACATAGCTGTCTTACCAAACATAAACTTAGAATTCACAAAAATTTGTAAAATCATCAGTCTTATAATCAAAAATTAGAGTGTGATAAATTTTACAAAATTATTTATCTAATACTCAAATTGATTCACAGAGTAAGATTAATTCTTTCCATCATTTTACCTAAACAGGGAGTTGTGTGTTAATGTTAACACATCCAAGATAATGTTATTTTGTCTAGGTGGTCATCATTGAAATTCTGACAAGTGGTTCTTGAGTAAAAATAAATCAAGATAAATGCTGGTAAAAATAAATCATTATATTTAGAATTATTATTTCATAGTTCCTTGTCATTTAATCCTCACTTCAAACCAAGTTATTTCTTGATACTCAGGTAAATAAAAAATTTATTAATCTTCATATTTTAAAATGATATAAACAAAACTTATTTTTTGTCTTTTCAGTCTCTATATTTGAATACATATTTTTATTCAGTACCAATTTGAGTTATAAAATTTTTATATTAGGTTGAAAAAATTCAAATTTCATTTTTTAAAAATACTTTTTAAACTGGACTGTTAAGTCCCTGTTATGCTATTAAGTTGGAGGTAGACAAATTTCCGTAAAAGTTATTCTTATCAATACTAACAAAAACTTTTTAGAAATATAGTTCAAGTCTTTAGTTCTCTCTAATTTGAAGACCTCCAAAAGATAATTCAAAAAGCCAATTAAGGAGGTAGTTATCTAATGATTCAAAGTTTGTCTTCAATTGTGATATCTGGATTTAATCTTGTCTGAACTGCATCTTATTAATTCATGGAGGATACAATATTGTACACGGCAAGACAACAGAAAATTGATGCTTCAATACACACTCAACCAATCTATAATGGTAATTATTTATTCCACTTTAAGTTACATTATTGAATTACATCTATAATGCTTGAAACTAGACTGAATAAACTAATCTGTTTTTATAACATAAATTGAATTTCTTTATTTCCAGCTACTTGTGTGACTTGTCAAGAACTAAATTCAATTATACATTTCCTTCTAACTTGTAAAAACTTTCAATATTCACAGAAGAAAATTTGGTGTGAGCAAATAATTGTTAAAAATTCAGTAAAACCTGTTCAAAATGAAATCTTAACAAAACAGAAACTTGCTTAAATGAGAAGAATTCTTCAAAATGCAGTGATTATGTGGGTTAAAATAACCTGTTCAAAAAGGAAATCTACTAAATCATATAAAATATTCAGTACCATGAAACCCACTTTACACAGGTTTTACTGTATATAAATATTTGAATTTTGTTAAAGCCATTTTTGCTAACTTTGATTATGTAGCTTGTTTATTTAAACTGTGTTATTACTATTTTATTGAATAACTCACTATGTTATACACAATTTTTTTCTATCTTCCCAGATAGGGAGATTTAACTTCTATGTCAAATAAAGAATTGATTGATTGATTAAATAAATTTGTATTAAGAAATGAAATTTTTTAAAAATATACATATATTAAATAATTAGATCAGTTAATGAATATTTAAAATTAAACAGAATTTAATGTTATATATTTATTCTAATTTATCAAGCAAAATTAACTTAATGATTAAACTTAATTAACTTATTGAAATGATTAAAATTAATCTAAATTTTAATTATTTCAATAAAGGTAAATTTTATATTCATTTAATTTATTGAAAAAGTTTATTTGATGTATAGTTCTTATTTCATATTACCTGAATGAGATGCAACAAGCTGAGGTGTCTGTCCTTTAGTTCTTAAATTTGTCCATTCTTTAGAAGCAATATTAAATCTCCACAACTAAAAATTAATAGCAAAAAAATAAATTTACATTTTAATTATTTATAATTTACTTTTTAATTTAAACAAGTTAAAACAATTTCACCTGTGTAATTTCTAATTTAAAGAACAAAATATGTTATATAATTTACAACATCCAGCAATTTTTCAAATAATTAATTGTGATTTTATTTTGTAAAAATCTAGTCTTTATTTGTCTTTATTAATATACATTAAGTTCTGCATGATGTACATTAATGCACAGCACTAATACTTTAAATTGTATGTGATGATAACAGAAATCAGAAACAGCCAAGTATCATCAAAGTTATAAAGATATTTTTTAGAGATGATATGATACTGAATTCTCTGATACAACTGGATATCCATACTTGCTTCTATCCACATTCTACAAGTGTTAGTAATAAATGAAGACCCAAAAGTTCATTTGTTTAGAGGATACCCACTTTCTTCACTATTTTTAGGAAAAATTCAAAGAAATCTTGAATAAATTTATATTAATATAGAAAAACTACCAAATCAAAAAAATTGCCAACTAGTTTGAAATATTACCAAAATCTGGCAATTTCTTGCCAGACCCAGCAACAGTGATCACATATTGCCCATCCATCACTAAATATACATCAGATTTGTTAACTTTTAATACAACCAGGATAAGCAAACCACCATCAACTCACACTGTACTTGTTCAAAATTCATCACAACCAAAGTGTGTGACCTATGTTTATACAGCTGATTCCTATCATCTTAGACTCATGTCATTGCTCATATCAAATTAGAGGATTACTGTTAGTGTATATTCTTAAGATATGTTAACATATAGTAGTATGCATTAATATTTTGTACTTAAATTTTTATATATAACTGAATAACAGTTATTACATTGTTTAAATAAGTTTTCATTCTTTTTTTCTGATTCTAAAAATGCTTTGTGTAGACTAGTGTTTTTCAACCTGTGAGTTGCAACCCCCAGGTGGGTCACAAAGCCATACATGGGGGATTGCGGGTAAAAGAAAAAGACAAGTGTTTGTAGGTCCTACACTACAATAAAAAAATTACAATTTCAGTGAGAAAGCTGTGCCTGTTTATTTTACAGTACAATTAGTTTTTTTATCAATATTTAAATCTCAACAGAAAGAAAATTAAATACGTAGTTTTTAAAATCACTGACATAGTTTTAATATGGCCGTGGGTGGTCGCCAAAATTTTTTAACTTGTAAAGAGGTCGCATATTCAAGAAGGTTGAAAAACACTGGTGTAGACACCAAATGCAAATCATTTTTCTGCAGAAAGTGAAATAAAATTTCACATAATTAAGAATATCATAAAGCAACTGTTAAATTTTATAAACATTTATTAAAATAAAATCAATTTTCATTATAACTAACAAAGATTTTTGTTGAAAGTATGGATCAAAATGCTATAACAGAATATGCTTAGGACATAAATTTTATTTTAGGTACTGAATATTATATACTTTAAATGTAATAAATACAACATATATTTTAATTAACATTAATGTAGTGATGAGTGAAATCATTCCAAAAGTTACACAGTTTCTTAACTGATAGGGTTTATATGCATTTATAATTACTTTGCATCATGAAAAGACAGATTAATAAACTATATTAACTGCAATATTTATTAAAACCTTTTAATAAAACAATATTTTTACTATTATCATATGTCAATGCATATGAAAAGTGTATATATTTTATATTTATGTATAAAAAGATAACTGATGCATAGCTTATATTTTTAATACTTTTTCCTGTCTAGAAATTGTACTTATTAAAATTAATTTCTTCCATGTTTGAAAGCATGTAATTAGAAAAGAAAACACTATAACAGAAAGGTAGAAAACAGTTTCATAAAAATTGGAAAAGAAACAGAAAGTACAGATTTTTAACTCTTAGTAATAATAATAATAATGAGAGTTATTGGTATAAGCAGTTATTGGTATAAGCAGCAAATTGTATTATGCTTTTGATAACTGTACAGAAAATATAAAGAAAATCTGTTTAGAGAATGAAAGAATATATTACTTGTTTAAGCTACTATCTACAAGATCTAGATTTACAGATCTCTTAATTTAAAGTAAGTTGATATATATTTCAAGCATTCAAATAACTGTACAGTTATTGAATTCTCACAATGCGGAAAAAGTATATTGGTAAAAAAATTATTCGTGGAAATATTTACAAAAAAAATTTTAATTTTGTGGCATTATTCCTTATTTCATTTGTTTTTTATAAAGAGAAAGGTGTTATATTTATATATATTTGTAAAGATTTTGGAACATCACTATTTCATCAGGCTTGTGTATAAATTACAATTAAAGATATTAACTTATAGAATATTACTAGACAAAAGCTATACATTTTTCTTTAATGATCAATAAAAATGGTATAAAATGTTTTTTTTTTTTATTAAAATTTGTTTCTTGGTTGAATTCCTGGTGAAATTTTGTTAATTATAATACTTTCATCCAGTTTTTCTTGTACAAATTGATATTTAATTTATATTTTTTCTTGGCTAAATGTCTTTTATGTCAAAATCAAATAATTATGACTGAAACAATGCTAGAAATATATCAGGCTGTAACATTATGCTATTTTCATAGTGTCAACAAAATAAACAGTAAATTTACCTCTTTAAATAAACCATTTTCATAGTTTTCATCAGCATTGTCAACATCAGGATTATATCCTCCAAAAGAATAAACATTTGCATTGTCAGCAACAATACGATGACCACTGCGAGCCTCTGGACAATTTGTTCCTTTAAAAAAGAAAATTGTTTTTAATATTCCGATAAAACAAAACTATTTAAATTATTATTATTATTATATTTTTTTACAAATACATAAGATATTGCATTTGAATATAAATCTATTTTGTATGATACAAATTCTTTTATTTGAATTATTGTTTATAACGTAGCATATTTAATTATATTGTATATGTAGGAAGTTAAAAATATTCAGCATTTACCATACTGATCATAAAATTACTGTACTTAAAAAACGTTAAAATTCAAATCAATAAGTTTAGTTAAAAATTTTAACCGCCTTACCATCACTTCGACGCCATGTTTGATAGCAACACGCAACCATCAATACATCTGTTTACACGAATTAAAATACGTACGTTATATTTAGAGTATTCGTTGAGAACCGTAACACGGGATGAAACCACGAAATCAATTATGTGTCCGTACTGCAGCAATATTGATGATAAATTGGTAACATACTTCACAAATACACGTGCGCCTTATTTCAAAGATGGCGTCGAAATGATGGTTGGTCAATTGTACCTATATTAATTCTCTAGAGTTCAAAATTACATAAAATTTATCTTCTTAACAGTAGTAAAACCAGAATCGAAAAATAAGTAAGTAAAATATTTAATAAAATACCTTTATATTCTACTTTGATAATTTTTCTGGGACAAAATTTAAACCCTTTATTATCGAGATCCATTTCTAACCCTATTTTTCTCCACACTGTAGTTCTGGAATTTGCCACTAGAGTAATTGTATTTAATCGATCGTAGAAAAAGAATTAATTCAAAATTGATACTTTAAAATATATTAAAATCCATTAAAATGTTACAAATTTTGTTTAAGTTATTTTTATTAATTTTATCTATCGTAATGTTGAAATTTTGTGTGTTTTATTTACGATTGAGGTCACGCGGTTGGAATTTTTTTTTTTTTTTTGTTCTTTATTTTCCATCCTTTGAACATTAAGAGGATCTTTTCCTGTTTTTCATTAATTCGATCAGGTTACAATGGGAAAGTTAGATGGTGAGGAATAGAGTCAGAATTATCCGGTCAACCTATCTATTAAATTTTCTGAGTCTATCCGGACTCGAAGCGGTATTCAAGTGGAGATTGATGACTCGTTTCGGCCATCTAGCCTTATTGTAAGTCTACAGTTGAAAGGAATCTGTTCAATTATCCGAAACTGTATAATTCATCATAAATATTACCGAAGCGTTATTTCCCTTGTGATATATCAATACTAAGCAAAGAGAAAACCGATCATATAGCTCACGTTGTACAGATATCTCGCCTCAACTAATCCAATCCGGGTAGGATGCCTAAGTGGCAGCCTACCGCTCTGAGGAATCTGAATCCGGACTGGTCGAAAAACTCCAAGAATTTTTCGGGGATAATCCATCTAGATATGTCGAATCCCGTCTGTCACAACCCGGCCGCTCCACTACAGATCTGGTCGAACCCACAATAGGCTTGCTAAAAAAGGCCCTCTTAATGTTTACACGGCGGAATGAGTTTTAAAAAATAATCTATCCAATCCAATCAAAACGAAAAAACGAGAACATTAAATTAGTTATTAATTCATATAAAATTTTTTAAAAATGCAGCAATTATATCGTAATTCTCTATATTTTATTCAAATGCTGTTTTAAGATTATGAACTAATTATTCTTAATTTCTTTTAAATGAATTGTTTGCATAATAATTTTAACTTAATTAATTAAAATTCCGACTTGGCAACACTGAAGTAGAATCACATGACTAATTCGTCATATGTTTATACCACGTGGATGTTAAATGGAGTAAACAAACTATGGCTATTTCGATTAAAATCGTCATTTTTTGCATTACTTGGTGTTGTTACGGGGCTGTAACTCTATTGCTGTTTCATATGTTCACAATTCATCAAAATTCGCCGTATATGGACGAAATTTTCCATGTTAAACAAGCAGAAAAATACTGCGATGGAAATTTCAGCGAGGTTTGGATAAATTAATTCTGAATTAATGTTAAATTTTCATTTTTAAACTGAATAGATTATAATTAAGATCTTAAATTAGAAATTTAATTAATTTATTTTCTATAAATTAATGTTTCATTCTTTACTGTTATACTAGTATTGTATGATTTCAGTGGGATGACAAGATTACCACACCTCCTGGCTTATATTTGGTATCTATAGGTATTCTGGTGCCTGCATCATCTCTATTTCATATAAATTATTGCACTACAATTGGACTGAGAATCATCAATGTCGCTTTTTCAATGGGAAATATGTACATTATTTATGTTTTACATGCTTACATTCATAAAACACATCAGGTATTTATGTAAATACTTTTGCTTCTTGTCTGGATTAATGCTTCTTGATGTAGCCTAGGGCTGGTTTAATTGTACAGACTTATCTCACCTTGTAGGTTACTTGATCTCTGACTCTTTCATCACTTAACCTACAAAGTATAATAAGCCTAGTCAGCCATGGGCTACATCAAGAAGAGATATTCATGTATTATTAGATATTAGCTTAGAATTATTTGAATTAAATTTTTACATTTTACTACTATGGTCAAAAAGTATCCAGAATGGTTCATTTAAACTTTCTGTGTGCAATTGAGTGCTGTCATCATTTTTTTTTTTGTCATTTGGTACATCTTTCATCAACAGCAATCTGTATGTCATCTTCTGTTTTCATTTGCATATAACTGCTTGTTTTGTGTGTAAAGAATTTTTGCACCAGTGATTTCTCAAAATGTCCAGTATAATTGAGCAAAGAACATACATTAAATTTTTTTTCATAACAGAATTACTGTACAAAACCGTTGGAAATGTTGCAAAATGTCTTTGATGACAATAGTCTAACAAAACAAGAATTTTTGAGTAGTACAAAATGTTCAAAGAAGGCAGAGAATGTATCAAAGATGACCATGTTCTAGTACACCATCCACTTCAACTGATGAACTAAACACTCAATGATCATTTAACAATTAGGGACATTATTGAACATATTTCAGTATAATTTGGATCTTGTCAAGCAATTTTAAAATATTATTTGGGTTTCTGGTGCGTCACTTCTTGAGTCATCCCAAAAGCATTGAATTTTTTCCAAAAATAGCAACATGTTCAAGCGGCTAAGGATATGCTTTTTCAAGTGCAAATTGTTCTTAAAAAGTCTCATGGGATGAAACATGGATCTAAGCTATTGACACCAAAATAGCTCAACAATCAAATGAATGGTACTCAAAAGGTAAAGCAAGACTGAAAAGACCATGTTAAACTCAGTCAAAAATCAAAGTCACATTGACTGTTTTCTTTGATTGTCATGGTGTTGTGCATCACAAAGTTTTCCAACTGGCCAAACTGTTGATAAAGAATACAAATTGAGCATTTTGCATCGTTTACATGAAGAAATTCATAAAAAATTACCTGATTTGAAGCAAGAAAATTCATGGATTTTGCACCACAATAAGGCACTTGCTCACAATGCTCATGAAGTTTTGGTCAAAAATTTAACAAATATGGTTCCATAAACTTCATATTCACTTGATATGACACTGTGTGACTTTTTCTGTTTTCTCAACTAAAATTTCTGTTTTTTGGTCACTGTTTTGAGTTGATGATGCCATAAAACAAAATTTGCTGCAAGTCCTGTAGGGGTTTCACGAAAATGACTTTAAAGCATATTTTGAAGACTTGAAAAAACATTGGCATAAGTGCATTGCAGTGAGAGGGGATTACTTTGAATGGGACAAAATAACATTTGATGAATAAATTTAAATCTTGCATTTTATTGAACCATTCCAGATACTTTTTGATCAAAGGGGTATTAATTCAAATAGTAATTTAAATGAAATTTTAATATGATATATAATCAGTACTACATCTTCCTTATGTCTTCCAACAATACTTTATTAGAAACAAATGTTTTCAGCCTAGTTTATGGGCCTGCTTTAGGTTTTAAGTCTCTGAATTATACAGTTTACTAAGTATTCAAAAATTCGAATGTTCCAATCTTTAAAACTGACCATTTAAAAAAAAATTTTTTTTTTTAATGAATAAGCTAATACATTGAATTAAATTTAAATTTTTTGATATGGCAATTGATTTTAATAATATTTTCTAAGAGAAATTCTTAGAATAAAGTCTACTGAAAATTAATGAATAAATCTGATAAAGAAAATTTTGTAACCTGTTATATATAAAAAACAGAGAAAAATACTGATTACAAATTATAAACTATCAAAATATGAATATGAATATTAAATAACATCAAATTGTTTCTCTCTCTATACCAGTGAAAAACCATGTATAGACATTATCATTTTCAATTTTAAACTGTACAGTACATAATCTAAAAAATGCTAACATTTATATTATTTTAAATCTGTTTAAATATAAAGATTATTAAACATTTACTTAACTACAGTATTTTATTTGAAATTATTACAGAAAATGCATTTTGTATCAATTAATTTTATATCAAAAATAATGTTTTTAATATTAATAGGATATTTGGTATTTGGTTGTCAATTAGATTGTTGGTTACATTTTTAATGTGGATTAAATTTAGATCTGGAGATTTTTACTGTTTTGCTGAAAACTTATAATTTAGAATTAAAATACTTTGTAGAAAATTTAGTGAAAGTTAGGCTAAACATTGCATGAAGGTAAATATTAGTTTGATATAATTAAAAATGCAAAATTAATGACTTGTAATAAATACATTGTAAAATTTAAATATTTTTAAAGAAATCAATATAATCATTTAGTGTATTTTCAATAATCATTATGATTGACGTATTTCAAACTACAGTATAATCTTTCTAATTAACACAGGATAAACAATGCCAATCAAAACAGAAAATATATTGAAAATAATTTTTAAAAATGTATTTTTTTTTAAATTTGCTTTTCAGATGAAATATATATAATAAAATATTAAAATTTTACAACAAATTTTACTATTAATTACAAATAACAAATTTACTGTTAATAACAAATTTTACTGTTAATAAGAACTGTTAAAACAAGCATAGTCATGCTTGTTTTAACAGTTCTTATTATATACTGTTACTATTTTACCTTGTTTTTTTTAAATTCAAAGCTTTAATAATTTATTTAATTTACTTATTTGAACTATATATTTAGATAATTTTTTTATTTTTTAACAGAATATTAAGAAGTATCAACATATTTTATCTTCATTAAATCTTGCCTTGTTTCCATTATCATATTTTTTTACATTCCTATACTACACTGATTCAGGAGCTCTTTTCTTCATTTTACTCATGTATTTATTTCATCTAATGAGAAGTGATGGAACAGCTGCTCTTTTTGGTTTGTTAGCGATACTTTTTCGTCAAACCAGCATTATTTGGGTGTTTTTTGTAAGTATTATTATTGTGTATTATGCAATAAAATGTAAATTACATAATCTAAAATTATTTAGAGCTAACAATAAAAGTATTCAAGTAAAACTATTACTTGAATGCTTAAATTAAGTTTAATAAATTTACATTTCTACTATAAGTTTAAAGGATGCTTACTAAACTTTTTAATAAAAAATTTAATTTAATTTATATAGGAACTAATAACTAAATAATAATATGTAAGGTTTTAAAAAAAAAAGGAAAAAAATTCTTATTGTTTATTCAGATACAGTAGAGCCTCGAAAACTCGGCACTCGATAACCCGGCACTCCAGATAACTCGGCCACACCCTGGCAGGGCAAAAATACCCTTAGATAATTAATTTTCATCATAGACAGCTTTATGCCTCACAAAGTATTTTTCTGAGGTCTGTCTTATCAGGTAAATTACTGTACACTATGTATTCATTAATTTTCATTTTCATGTAGTAAAGGCTCTATGCCTTCATAAAGGATGTACTTTTCCTTTGTTTAAGGGTATTTGGGCAGTTTATTCTCTGTTGTATTCTCAAGCAAATAATACATACAAGTACAGTACAGTATTTTCTGAGGAAACACTCGTACTTATTTTTTTTTAACCCCATTCCCGATAACCCGGCATTTTCACAAACTCGGCCACCCTTCGGTCCACATTAGGCTGAGTTTTCGAGGCCCTACTGTAGTAAAATGTAAAATTTCTAGAATACATATGCCTAAAAATACAAGTAAATCATTCTCAAGTTACAATCAATGTTTCAACAAATGTTACATTTGTTGATCATATAAAAAATTTATTTCACGCGCATGGCTCAAGAATGAGCTGTAACTCAGGGAAAGGATAGAAGAAGCCTATAATTTAACACAGAATATTGCTGGAATTTTTGAAAGAATACACCAATTAAAGAAGCAACAAGTAGGAACGTACATCAGAAAAGGCAGAGAATATTTTGAACACTTTTTATATGTTGGATACCTATTCGAAAATTCATATGCTTGTAGAAAATTTTATATTTTCAGTAAATACATAATTATTAATTTTCTTATTTATTTGAATTAATCAACCTTCACTAAAAATTTGCATGTAATTTGAGAATTGCATTTTATTTCATTTACAAGTTCATTTTTAGAAATACTCTTACTACAAGTGTTTTGTTCATTTTTCATACTCTTAATATGTTCTGTGAATTTTTCAATCTTAAATACCTCAATAAAATTTAAGAATAGATTAAAATACATACTTTCAAAATTGTAATAAATATAACTGTTTGTTCAGTAACATCTCTCTTTGATTTCCTAATGCTAAAATATTAAAAGACAGACTCTTCCTTATAGAAGTCTCCTGTACAAGCAATGGAGTTCTATAAGTAAAAAGTTTGTTTTTAATACTTCAATATAATTGCTTGTATTTAAACCATCAGACAATGTTCTATTTGTGGCATTATATTAACCAAAACATAAAATAGTTATTTTTTTATAATATAATGCAACAATATAATATAAAAGGACAGTATAAAAGTTCAACCAAAATAGAAAAAGAATCATTATTTTTGAGCAAAATTCTAAAATTATTAAATATTTTGATATACTGATATATCTTTAGAAGTTCTGATTGAACTTTAAGTTATAAACAATTTTAATATAATTAATTTTTTAAATAAGTTTAGTACTTTGCATGGTGGATTTTTAGTTATGCATTTTAGTTATGAAGTTTTTATTTACTCTTTTATTAATAATTTTTGATTAAAAATTGGTTATTGATTAAGTTAGTGTATTTAACATTTAGTCAGTTTTTTATCAATATTATAAATCTTTCATTTTTTAAAGAACTTTTTGATTTTTCTTTATGTTATTGCTTAAAGTTTTGATTAATTAAAACTTTATAAATATAATAATACTTTACTTTTTTTAATTTTAAATATCACAAATGAAAATAATAATGAAATATTTATCACTATTATTATCAATTTATAAAAATATAAACTTAATATTTAAATTATCAAATTTAAAAATTAGTTTTCTTTTATCAGGTTGCAGTTTTACAGTTAATTAACATTCTTACTTATTGGATAAGAAGAGAAACATCAGCGAAACAAGATCATGTTCATTCTTTACTTCCATTTATTAAATACACAAGAACTATACTTCTACACAGAAAACAGTTATTTCATATATTATCAGATATACTTAAAACAACTGGAAATTATGTATTAATTGGAATTGGATTTGTATTATTTGTTATTTATAATCAGGGTATAGTTCTTGGAGATAAAAGTGCTCATCAGGCTTGCTTTAATTTTCCACAGATTTTATATTTTCTAGGATTCTTTCTGTGTTTTTCTTGTTCCTATTTAATTAGTTTTACTAAACTTTTGCAGTTTTTAAAATTTTGTCAAACTCATTTCTTTCTTACATGTTTTTTCTGTGTAGTAAGTGGTGCATTTATTTACAAATTTACATATGTTCATCCTTATTTAATAGCTGATAATCGTCATTTGACATTCTATATTTGGAGAAAAATACTTGGTTACAAATCAATCATTCCTTACCTTTACATTCCTTTATATTTATATTCCGCTTGGTCGTTGATTCATTCACTTTCACATAAATCAGAGTTATGGAAATTAACCTTTATATTTTGTCTTATTGTTGCATTGATTCCTCAACAGTTATTGGAATTCAGATATTTTATAATACCATATATTATTTTGAGACTGAATATGAATGTCGGTAACTGGTTACAGTTATTAGGAGAAACATTTGTCTATATATTTATAAATATTGTTGCTTTATATTTATTCTTTTACAAAACTTTCCATTGGCCAGATAGTAATGATGTACAAAGAATTATGTGGTAATATTTTTGTACAGTGTTGTAAGATTTAATGTATTATAGATTTAATTACAATGCTATCTAAGCAGCTGACATTTTTAAAAATTTTAGTTTAAAGTATATTATCAAAAGTAATTTTTGTATAAAAATTGATAAAAACATAAATTTTAACTTTATAATTGTTAATATAATTATCAGAGACCAAGTAAAATTCTGAATTCAAACTTTAAGATCATTAAAAAGTCATTTCAACTAATGAGAAGCTTAAAATGCAAAAATAAATTAATTTTTTATGATGATTTTTCACTTATTAAAACTATAAGATGGCATTAATGTATAATTATCCATTTATTAATGAAAGCATATTTCCTAATATTTTTTACAATTAGTAAATACTAAAATAAATCTTGATATATAGCATTTTTTTATTCATTAATGTTTACTTTGAAAATATTAGATGAAATTAAAATATTATCATTTTTTAAATTATTACATTAGCTAAGTATATTATTAGTATTATTTCTTGATTTGTTAGTGAATTTAAATGTTAACATCACCTAACAACTTACTGTATTACTTTGAATTTAAGATGTATCATGCTTTTAAAAAGGATTTTCTGAACAAAATTGGATGATAGCTTGAAGAAAAGTGACAAAAAATATCCAAAATTTAAGAACTGTCTTGAATCTAAGACTTGTTTTTAAGTTCAACATTTGAAAAAGTGAATTTTAAATTACAGAGATCAAAATTTAAATTTGTGTTAAATATAAATTATATAGATATAAATATAAATATAATATTAGATACAAAATAATAAAAAATTACTTTTAAGCTACTTCCATCTACATATAAATAATTTATATGATTTTTTTCAAAATGATAAATATGGCATCTTAAAAAGAATCATTATCTAAACAAGTTATTTGAATGTAATTGAAAATAAATTTTAAAAAAATGCAAATTTGAAAATAAATACTGTGTTTTAATTAAAAATTAAAGAGACTTCCAGATATTTAAGTGGCAAGACATTTAGAATGAATGAACCTAAAACTAAATTTTAATATTGGATTTTCATCTCTGAAAATTTCTTATAAAAATGCTTTTAGTAGATTATATTTATCAATCCTTATACAAGGTAGCACTTTCCAATTTTTTTTCTGCTGGTTATTTCGTTTTTTGTAGTTTTGTATCATATCTATCAGTTTAAATCTTCTACCATAAGCTGGAGTTTTTGTAAATTATATATAAAAAACACACCTTTTCATACGTTTCCAGCATTTCTTTATAGTTCTAATGAACTTTTTGGCTTGATTACAGGTCTTCTTCAGGTTAGAAACCATTCTAATTGGAAGGAATTATGTTGTGTTTGAAAATAGAACAATTCAAAGTTTCTTTGAGGTTATTTAAATATTTTATGTTATAACTTGAGATTTATAAATTTAAATAAAATTATTTCTTGAAATTATAAAATAATCATTGGCGTAGCCAGAGTTTTGTTATGGGGGGCCTAGTAGAGGCCAACCTGACACAAAATTGAATTATTTCAAATTATTGTTCATTAAAATGAAATTTCCATAAGAATTGACAATAACACATAATATGAAACTTCCTTTATTCATACGTTCTCATAACATTAATATCAAACTCTAGCAATGCCTTAAAGAAAAATTAACCAATCAATTATTTTTTTTAACCATTCTTTAATATAGTTCACATCTTTAATCTAGATATAGACCAGGGGTGGCCAACAGTTTTTTCCTCCAGGCCAAATTGGAAAGAGAACTTTTTTCACTGCCCGAACCAGAGGTGGCCCTAACAAGGTTTTCAGGTGATGCGAGATCTTATTGTGGCGTCACTCCATAGAGACTAAACTGTACATAGAGATTACAGATACACTTTTCACATTGGGCACAGAACGCCATTGACCTTTTTTTTTTTCTTAGGATCAGAATTTCTCAACTTTCCTATAACTTCACATTGTCAGGTTGTAGAGAATTATCGTGGATCCATTCAAGCAAATTATTTGAAGTTCAGTCCAATATTCAGAGATTAATTGCGGCCGCGGTACACTACATCCAATTAAATTAACTTCAACTTTTTATTTCTTTTTGCAAATTGGCTCAACACTTTTTCGGCTGTAATTTTCTGTGAAGGGTACCAGGTTAACTGGGGGGGGGCATGCCCACCCATGCTTCTTCCTGACTATGCCCATGAAAATAACCTGTAATAAATATTAAGCATGTGGAGGTGATTAATAAAAAATTATTACTTGATTTCAGTACATTTCAATAAAAATGCTTGCTAGGCTTGAGATATGATGAAGCTTTTTCTGTTGTTACTACACAGCCCTCAGCTTGCTGCTTTATAGACATTGATGGTTTCACTTATTCTTAATTTTTGTACATCAAATATTTTTCTTAATAATTTTGCATCTTCCGAACATGGAGATACCCGGGCTTGCTTGCATATATAACACTGCCTTACCCCAATATGGCTAAGGTTTGTTATAATTGTGTTATAATAATTTTTGTTATAATTGCCTTTAAGGATGTCATATTTATATTCTTTTATTCTGGCCTCAATTGATCTGTTAGTTGAGTCTATATAAGTTAGGAATCTGCTGAATCTAAAATCTTCTAGAGGTATAGTGTACACTCCAGGGGCTTTTTTCTCATTTATTTGATGTTTTCCATTGGTTAATAACCTGAATATTGTTAGGTTTCTTTTAAATACTATATCTATTTGTATATCTTTTGTTATACCAGAATAAACTTTGCATAACTTGGAGTCAAATTCAACTGTTATGTATTTGTGGTTAGGTTTTTGTTGTTGTGATTCCTTACCTGACTTTTAAAATTCTAGTTAATTCAGTAATTAGTTTAATACTGTAGCCATGTTTTCTAACCTGAAGAAGGTCTGTAAATCAAACCAAAAACTTTTGTTAGAACTATAAAGACATATTGGAAACATATGAAAAGGTGTATTTTTCTATATATATAGTATTTATCAATATTTAATTTTATTTATTTATTTTTTTTTTTATTTAACCAAATGACCTTATGACCATTGGCCTTTTTCAAGGGTCAAAAAAAACTAAAGATACAGACATGTATAATATATACAATCAACAAAACAACAAAAAAATTAAATTAAATAAATAAGACCTACTTGAACCTTTAAACGATGTGTATAGAAATTAATCTTTCCAATATGAACGTTTTGTTAACCCCTTCTGGGCTCTTCTTCAGGTATAGCTGAATCGAACATCAAACGAAAAAATTTGAATAAATCCGAACGCTGCTGAGTTTGAATCACACGGTTCGTATTGGAAAGATTAATTTCTATACACATCGGTTAAAGGTTCAGGTAGGTCTTATTTATTTTACACAACCCGGTGTGCAGTTGCTGTTTTAAAATTAAATTAAAATTAATTAAATGAATTATCAGAATTCTGAATCAGTGATGATAATTTTTATTGAAAAAGTATAATGTTCTTGTTATGAGGCATATTTGGAAAGTAAAGATACAAGGCAAATAGAAATGCAAGGAAAATTATGTTTTCAGATTTTTGCAGTGCAGCATCACATGACAGAAATCACTTGCTTTTAATTGCATCATTGTTATGCTTTCAGTGTGTGTTTAAAATGGCCATATCAATTTGCAATCCCACCAAGCAGCGGCGGCCTTATCCATTGCGAGGCTCTGGGCGGCAGATCTTTGCGAGGCCCTGGGCGGCAGATCTTTGCGAGGCCCTTGTCCTTTGTGCAAAGTATGTGAATTGAAATAGTAGGCACTTATTAATATTAAATATATACTGTACTATAAATTAAATTTATTTTATTGTTATAACTAATAGCCAAGGATAAAATAAAAAGTTTTAAATATCAACTTTTTTCTACTTGGTTGTTGCGCGAGGCCCCTCCAAGAGCGAGGCCCCGGGCGATTGTCCTGCTCGCCACCCCCTAAGGCCGCCACTGCCACCAAGTACTAGGTTTGTTCGGTGATTCCTTTGTGCAAAAGGAGAAACTGCCACTGTGATATTTATTTGTAACTTGTTTCCAACGAAAAGATGTTACAAACATGCAAAACATGACAAAATGATGTCGTACTGCACGATAATACCCATTCACACACACTGCTTGCATCGCTCAAGAATTGTTGCAGACATTCAAGTGGAAAGTTTTGGAACATCAATTGCACAGCCCATATCCTGTAACAAGTGATTATTACTTGTTTTTCAAGTTGAAAGAACATCTGTCTCTCTAGAACAGTGATTCTCAACGTTTTTTTCATCACATAATCTTTAATAATTTAAAAATTTGGTGGCACACATGGTTACTTCGGTAAGTGTCACAGGACAACCAGTGATGTCATAACAGTGATTTTTAAACACAATTGGTTATTTACGTCACATTTTCTAAATGCCTTGGTAACTACCAGGGCTGTAGAGTCGCGTAAAAATCTACCGACTCCGACTCCGACTCCAACTTTTCCTTACCAATCCGACTCCAACTCCGGCTAAAACACCAAAACTCCGCATCTCCGACTCCACGGTCTTGCCAGGGCTGTGGAGTTGCGTAAAAATTTACCGACTCCGGCTAAAACACCAAAACTCCACGACTCCAACTCCGACTCCACAGCCCTGGTAACTACAGGCAGTTACTGGTAACACCAGTTACAATTTCCAAATGTGCCCTAGGAAGGTAGAACCAATTGAACTACTTGTCTGACGTTGCCTATGTATGAGTATTCGCAGTGGCGGCACACTTCATAAATTTCACGGTACACTAAAATGCCACAGCACACTTGAGAATCACATTCTAGAAAGTAGTTTGATGATGACTATGACAAGGTTCAAGATGCAATGATGACATAATTATGAAAGCAGATGGGAAATTTCTACAAGGTCAGCATCAAGAAACTCATTTCCAGGCTCCAAATATATTGAGATATGTCAAAAAATAAATAAATGTATGTTCTAAAATTATTATAAGTCAACCTAAAAGTGAAATACTCTAGAAATATTTTTTGGGCTTCATATCTTTACTTTATGAATACTCCTCATATTAATCTTGTATCTTTTAACAAGATATTTATTTTTCACTTTTCACTTTTGTTTTTTCTGATACAGTTCACTTTCAACAATAGTCACTTTTATAAACAGTGGCCATTTTTCAGAAATTTTTTTGAATAAAAATGCATACAGAATAACCTCTGAACAACAGCTGCTTTTTATGTTTCCATCAGTGGCTGTTGTTCAGAGGTTCGATTGTACTTATATACACTAAAGCTAGCTTTTCTGTTTAAGTATGGATATTAATATTAAAATTGATTTAATTGATGTTCAATTGAAAT